GTTCAACAAAATAATAAGGTTTCTTTTGTTTTTTGTTCAACAAAAGATCTCCAAAAGATGCCGCTTGGAAAACTGAGCTTTTTGCATACGTTATTTCTCAAGAACGAAGAGCGCCCCAGCCAAAAAAAATCCAGAGCAATGTTTCTGAGGTACAACAAAGCCTACATGCCAAAATTCAGCTATTTTTGAACACTTTCAAAATGGCCAAAAAATCTAGGGGGCGTTCTTGCACGCGGCCTTTCAATTGAACATGTAGTGCATGGCCAATAGATGGATAGTGAATCGTTATACACATCAACAGTACACTTTACAATCCACCCAAGGATATACAGTATTGTGCAAAAGTAATGCAAACGTATTTCGCCAAAATTTGCAGCTTTTCTTGGCTTTTCCACAAAAAGATACCGAATTTTCGACGGAAGCAAATTTTTAACGAAAAGTCAAGATAATTTGCAACGCCTATTGTTTCCAACAACACGAATTTTCGAAAGACAATTCACTTGGAACAAAAATTGACTATGAAAATTTGCTCTGTTCAATAAATGACTTCACACATTTGAGCGAAATTTGCTCTTTATTAGCTCTGCGCGAACATTCCCAAGCATTTTGTGGACGACAATTTGCCAAGTTCAAATTTGCTGCAATGATTCTTTTTTGCTGTCATCTCACAATGCGTAAGCTTGTCTGTTTACATAACAGTTCTATAAGACTAACCTGGACATACTTCATCAAAGGTTTCCTTTACTGTTTAGTTTACGTTAAAAGCATCGCAGCTCTTACACAATTATTCTTCAGTCGTTTCTTGGCTCACGTTTGTAGGCCACAGAGGCCACTCACCGATCCACGCCATGTTTTTGTAACCCAGACTCTGCACGTACTTGTTTTTGTATAACCATAGCAACCGCTAGTGTTCAATAGTGCTAACGAGCATTACACAATCATTCCAATTACACACGAACACGAATCAAGCTTCTTTACAAGCAAGAGCTCTACCCAGTTGAGATATTTAAATTGCTGAAAGAAGGCTTTCGAGTGAGTGTCTTAAGACCAAAACCAAACAAATTACTTACCAATTAGACTACTCAGTGAATCTCAAAACGCAGTAATAACAAAACTGAAACGAAAGTAATTGCCTGATTACTTATTTCGACTCTCAATCGAAAACTGCTTTATTTACTATTGCTTTAATCAAGGAAACCCTATTACACTGTTTTACTGTTATGAAATCATTATAACCCCCAACCCTCTTTCTCCCAAAACTGTGCATCTCGATCTTCCTACTTTTCTCTCAGCCTTTTACTTAGACTCTAAGAAAAGTCCTTCATCTTGTCTATTCATAACCTGCCAGACGAAGGACATTCATCGCTCACTTAGCCGCTTAGTGACGCTCGCACGGCCACTACGCAGCGTAAAACCTCGCAGCTCCTTCACTCGCTTAGCTATTCTACCCTAAAACTCACAAGGTTGCCTTGTGGCAAGTCCACTTTTCCCAGGCAGAGAGCAAAACAAACAACTTACTCTGGCTTCAGCGGATGTTATAAGTACTGTTTTCTTGCAAATGCCTCACTTTCCCTTTACATGATGTAGCTACAGGGGCAAAATCTATACTGCCAAACCACTGTGGGCTCGTAAGTTTTCCAAGTGGCATTCAAGTGACGTGGCACATGGCTGGGCATAAATATGAACCACTAGGTCGGTGCTTACGGTTGATATGGAAGCAGAAAATGCTTGAAATAAGCTTGTTGCTTATAAACCCAGCAAGGATTCAGTTTACAAGGTAAGACGTTCGAAAACTGTTTTGTACAATTCAACTCTGGAGCTGATCAAGACATGCACTGCTGGGCTAAAAACACGCAAAAGACATCTGAGAACTTTTGAGTTTTGGTTCCAAAACGAAATGTAATGTTTCATAAAATATAAATTTTGTCTGCTAAAGTTCTGTCTCATTTCTGCGCTGTTTGTTTGGGGAAAGCGGACTTCCGTAAACATTGTCACGTCAACAGACTTGGCCTACAGGGTGTACTTGTGGAATTGGCACCCAGTTTTACTGATCCATACGCAGGCTTGAAAACAAAAGTTGCTAAAACAAGGTTTACGAGTCTGTGTTTAAGGAATTACTTTTGAGGTAATCGCTTTTTTTCGTTAAAACTGTGGGATCATTGAATCTATTTTCAATATGAGTTAGGTTTGTTTAGCGATGTCATTCATGGCGGTTCATGTCACAAAAATTCACTGCTACGAATTTTGCGATCTCAAATTTTTGAGAAAGGTCATGATTTTTTCGCTTAGAACCCTACAAAACATCTTTTGAAAATTCAACGACTTTTTGTGGAAAATTCGCGAGAACAAAGGACAAATTTTGTTTACATTACTTTTGTACAATACTGTATAGGTTCTGGAACATAAGTTATTTCAATCCCCTTATTCACATTTCTGGGACTTATTTAGTAAGATATTGAGGTAATCCAAGACTATATTCTATATTATTTTTGACAGGAATGATATAACCAATTACTTTGATGCCTCACAACCTTAAATATCAACTAAGTCTTATTCTCCAAATTTTAAAAAGTTACTCTAGCATAAGAAAAGACAGAAAGAGATCATACCACAGCAAGCATATCGAAGCTGGCAAATAATTCATTGAGATATTGAACTAACTTCTGAGCTGTGCATTGGGATGAGAGCATAGTGAATCCTTCAATATCAGCAAACAAAATACTGAAATGAGAGTAAACAGAAAATTAAGTATCATATGACTGCCTTCATTGGAATATCTGTATTTGTTGGAGGTTTACTACCCTCATGTGGCCAAAAGTTGAGGTTGTGTAAAAAATAAACATAAAAAAGGGTTCAAAATAATTACTTGAAAACAATGTGGTCAATAACCTAGGAGTGCATACTTTTGTACTACAACACAAATAATGTGTATCTTTGGTTTAAGTGCCTCAAAACTATAATAATAACAATAATAGTAATAGTAATAGTAATAGTAATAGTGATAGTAATAGTACTTGTAATTGTAATTGTAATTGTAGTAGTAGTTGTTGTTGTTGTTCTTGTTGTTGTTGTTGTTTATGTAGCAGTAGCAGTAGCAGTAGCAGTAGTAGTAGCAGCAGCAGCAGCAGCAGCAGCAGTAGTAGCAGTAGTAGTAATAGTAATAGTGATAATGATGATAGAGCGGTTTTCAATTGAGTGTCGTAAAACCAAAACTAATCCAATTACTTACCAATTAGACTACTCAGCCAATCTCAACCAAAACCAAAATCAAAGTAATTGTCTAATTACTTTCTATACTCAATTGAAAACCACTCTAATAATAATAATAATAATAATAATAATAATAATAATAACAATAAAAGCTCGATAGACTTTCCCCTAAAGTTCAAGAATATCACAGGTTACATTGGATCAAAGTTTGCCAAGTTTAATACATACTAGTTATGCAATTTGCTTTCAAGTGGTATCCATGGATTACTACATGGCAAGGCAGTCTTGGGGTAAATCCAAACGTTCTGATTGGTTCTTCCTTGGTGGGGATTTTGCGTGTATTTTTTGGGTTCTTAGAGGCAGTGAATTCAAAATTTGCAAGTCCAAGTGTCATATATAACGACCTACTTACTAAGTAAACTTAGCTTGCTTGAGCCATACTAGGGAATATTAGCCCTCAGGTTGTTTTTGCCTGGATTGAGCCTGTTTCTATACAGACTATTCTCATCCAACTGCAGCGAATACCGTCCAAATAACACTACAAATATACAGCGATATTGTACAGTTATTTGTACAGTAGAAAACCTGTTTGCTGTACAGGTCAGCGTGCGCACGCAAAACTGTTGCACTCTCCCTCTTTCATTGATGAGTTTATTGACTTACTACAGCAGTTGGATAATAAATCTCTTATTAGTAAACCGAGAAAATCCAAGTGGCTCGTGGGATATTAACCTCTTACTAACTGAGCGAGAGGGCTGTTCCCCAGTGCAGCCCTCTTGCTCAATTAGTAAGAGGTTAATATCCCACGAGCCACTTGGATTTTCTCGGTTAACACATTCGCCTTAAAGTAAGGTCATTCCCCAGTATTGCACTGAGCATCCCTACTGCACATAATTTCACATGTGAATGACACACGCATTAAAAAATGGCTGCATTTTCTTTACGGCTGGACCTCACTAGAGGTAAATCATCATTTACTTGAAAACAAGTATGGTGACCTATCATTTTTTTGTTGGGTATAAATAAGTTGACACAAGTATAAACAAGATTTATTGGGTATAAACAAGTTGCTGTTGCTCCTGAACAAACACAAGGACCCCTCATTTTTATTTAAAAATTTAAGTTCCTATAATGTAAACAATCAATAGACAAAGTTTGACAAAAATCTTGGTGTACAGTACCACTCAAAAGTAAGTTATCATCTCTCATCTCGTTTATCGCGAGACAAGACTCTCAACCCGCGAGACGAGAGTCTCGTCTCGTGAGAAGAGAGTCTCATCTCAAGAGACGAGAGTCTTGTCTTGCGAGAACCATTGAAGCATATATTTTGAAATAAATTGCAAGCAGTTAGCTTGCGAGAAAACAATTAATTCCTCGCGACGCAGCAAAGTTTACCCTGCAAGAGCATCTGGTTTTGTGGGCTCTTGTTTTAAAGGCCACTTCGAGAGAGCCAACTTTAACTTGCAAGCGAAAAACTTAAATGAAAGTGATAAAAAGCAAACATCAAAGACGTTCGTCAAAATTTGCGTTCGGTGGTCACTTTAATTATTTCACTGCAGCGTGTTGACTTTGCGTAACTATGAATGACAGCTTTTAAGTGGAAACTTACTTCGCAAGACCCAATACTATCATCGCAAATGAAGAAAGTGAATGGAAACTTTTTTAATCTCAAATCAAGACGTTGGTTAAAGTACTTGAGTAATCGATGAGTGAAGTGTCAATAGTTTCCAGATTATTTTTAGCCCATAACACAGTGAATTTGCATAAGTGTACATGTCCTTTGAACTCGTCTTTGAATCAAAAACTGTTGTGTTCATAAATAAAATTGAATGTAAACAATCTTAGAAATCAAAACATTAACCACTGGAAAGAGAACTTCGGTAAATCTGTACATGTTTCGTCTGACAGCGAGAAAGGAAGTGAATTTTGATTACACAAAAACAAAAACGTGACTTGATGCACGCGTCCTTTGCTAAAATAACAAACACACGGAGCAGAAATGTCCAAAGAAGGAACATGAAATGGAACGAAGANCATGTAGCCAATGGGTACTTGTATCACCCATGCACCCATGTGGGTGTAGTGAAGGCAAAACAGGGCTTTTAGCTTTAAAATGACATATAGCATAACAAAATTGTTTGAATACAACATGAGCTGGTCATTTTTTACCAAAACATGTCAAAAATGGCCATTTTTAGGGGGTGTCACCAAAGGGTTAAACTGAAAGTTATGTTGATCTTAATTCCTTGTTAAACGTGCTTACCAAGAAAGTCAAAGTCTGTTGAGCGATTGATGGAAAGATTGCGATCTTTTGGTCAAATTAGTTGTGTTGATGTTGAACTCGCCTACAGGTACATATAGCAACCAAGTTAAACAGTCTGTTGATCGATCGATAGAGGGCTTTCGGAGAACCCTATAAACAAAGAGAAGCGTAATAGCTTTATAGGAGTTGTTAATAGCAAATGCTGCAAGATAAGCTCTGTCACAGAACTCGCTTAACTGCAAAGTTAGCAACGCGTGTCGATCATCAATCGAAACACGGCTATAAAAATTGTGAACCACTCGAAGGCCAAGAATAGTCCACATTTGCTTTTAAACATGACACTGTTAACCTTTCTTTCATGTTTTCAGACCTTTCTACTGAAGTGAAGTTAATGACTTTATTAATCACGGCATTTGCTTGGTGAAAGAAGCCACTGGGATCGATCAGCAAAAGAAGCAATTTCAGTGTACAGGTCTGGACACTGTGGAAGTCATGAACAATATGTTCTCGATTGAAAACTAAACAATTTGCAGCATATATATTCACAAACACCATTCTCAAGCCATGTGGGTTGAAAATTTCAGGAGTTACATCTTTTATGAATGTGGTAAACATCGAAGATCCGGCACCAGCGCTTGCAAGCGAAGCTTCTTCAGATCACGCAAAGTTTTGCTACATTGTTTGCTTTACAATAGACTATTAAAATCTCGCGAGAAGTTCAGGCAGCCATACTTACAGTTTTTTAAAGCTCTTCGACTCTCGTCTCGCAAGACGAGAGTCTCATCTCTCAAGACGAGAGTCTTGTCTTGCAAGAAGGTGGTAACATACTTTTGAGCGGTATTGTAGGTTCTATTTCAGTGGAATGACCTTAAGGACCGTGTGTATACCAGGAAAATACAAGTGACAAAGAAGATACAGTGGCCAACACAATCAATGTAGCACACAGTGGAAATACCATCAAGTATACAACAGCTTTCCTTTATTCTGATTAGCTGTATTTTCTGACCAGGTCTAGATATTTATATCTTGTTACATTTGAATAGACTCAAAGAATCAACTAGACAAATTGGTGTTGTTGTTCACTTTTTTCAAAAGCCCATTATTAGCAAAGATGTGTGATATAATGCATAATGCGTACAAAGCCATTGTGTTGCCCAAACTTCTGCTTTGGAAAATTCTTAGAACAGAAGATAATTCTGTCAGATATCTAACAAAGTGACGTCAGTTTTTCATGCATCTGTCCTGTTATTGAACATGAATTTCGTCATAACATTGTAAAAGTAGCTGTGAATCCACAAGGCCATAGCTGAGTGAGTGGATCCGCAGACTATGTTGGCAATAACATGACAAAATTCATTGTCAATAACAGGACAGACGCATGAAAAACTGACGTTAATTTGTTTTTTACGCCAACAAATTGTCAAATTGTCCGCTCTTGCTTGTTAGCACATCACATAAATTATAAATTCATGTGTCTGTCCGCTTATTGACAATGAAAATTAGCAAATGACTGCGTGAGGATTTTTCCATGTGAACTTCTCCCAGGAAGTCATTCACTGTCTAAATTCCCATGGAAAACGAAGCCTCGCATAAACAATGCTGACCAAAATATCTATGTCAGCCTTGAACTTTTCAACTCCAGACACATGGCTTCTTGTTATGAAAACATTTTTCATTGTTGCTAAAGTTGGCTAATTGGTATCTAAGAGCTGCCCTCTGTAAAATATCAACTATTGTCATTTGGACAAGAAAAAATCAAATTCCTCAAACTTTCTTAGGTGAATGGTTTAGATAAGTGATTCGCCCACAATACATAACCTACAAAATGACTAAAATTTCCAAGAAGAAGCTCATATTCAAATCATTCCAGGATAGCCAGTTACTAGTTCAGCCACTGAAATGCGCAAAATGGCTTTAAAGCCAGTTATTACATTTTCACTTCCTACCCACCCTACCCCTACCTGTTGGAATGTGCACTTGTTATGTGTAACACAATCTGTGGGATAATGGCAGGTGCACAACATATCGCAACAGAACTGAGCTTAAATGAGTTCTTGATGAGAATCCTCAATTAAGAGGAAGATTTTAAAGGCTTATGAGACAAAATACAAATAATATTGATAGACGTTATGATGCAGGCTTTGGAAAGTTGAAATCTGCTTAACCATTGTGATGTCTCAGAGTGATTTTGCACACTAATCATCAAAAATGCCACTGAAACTTACTGATAATATAACATGAGGTATCATGGAACACCCAGTAGTTAACATGTCACCAGGTAAGTGGAATATATAATTATTTTCTTTGTACATCGTTATTTTCACATTATTATGCTAATTAGGACAGTGGTCTTTGTTGACAAAAGCACAGCTTAAACTTCTTCTAACATTCTACAGTTTCAACTGCCCAAAATTTTATTACATATTTTTACAGGTGAGACATTGCTCTTTAATTGAGGGTAGCTTTGGGATCTCAAGTGATGTACTTTTGGTGATATTTTCCTTTAAATTTCGCGTTTTTTAGGGCGCTTCACGAGTAGTTCAAAAGGGAAGAAATTTAAAATTCTGTAAAAAAAAAATCAGATGTTGGTCAAATTCCCAAAACAGCCTCTTGACGTAACAAGAAACAGTTGCTTGTCTCGAATAATGGGTTTTTACCCAGAATTACAATTTTTTTTCTTTGCATGGCAAATTGTTAAATATGTGCCCTAAAATGGATGCTCGAAGCCCTCTCAGAGGGACAAAACCAAGATGGTCACAACAGCGCTAAAATACGAATTGAACTGCACTGAAAGTTATATTTTGGTGAATCACTTATCTAGACTATTCAGCTGAGAACATTTGAGAAATTTGATTTTTTTCTTGACCAAATGACCATAGTTGATATTTACCGAGGGCAGCTCTTAAAGTTACAAACCTGACATTCTCATGTCTTTGAATGTAGATTTTGTGAAACTGCATTGTTTCTGTCCTGTCACTTTCTATATCTGCTTTCATTTCCATGGCAACATGTCTGGGCAAAACTGAAAGCAGCAGGCGTTCCTGAAATTAAAAGCACTAATTATTAAGATTAAATATGCTGCACCCATTTTGAATACCATTCAATGTGCTTTTATTAGCATTGTCTCCTCCAGAGTGCCTCTCACTGACAGAACTTGTTTCACATAATATACAGACTCTAAACGTTTTCGTAAAAGTTGACATTTTCACATAATTTGTAATTAAGTTATCATGAATAAAATTTGTATTTCTAAATTAAAATAAGGCAAGCCCTAAAGTGTCAAATTTCAAGGGTAACACCTTTTTGGTTCCGTGTCCGGTCGGTCCAGTGATCAAGGGAAACGATCAGTAAAGGAAAATTTTGTGCCAAAATTTCACAGTTGATTTGGACACATGTAAAAAGAAAATGAAAACAGCATTGAGAATAAAGAAGGAAATGAAACAAACATAATATAGGATGTGCATACTAAGTAGCATGTATCTTGGCTTGTAAGTTTATAAACAACACAGTGTTCTCAGTATCAGTCTCAAATTACCTCTTCCCGAAAGTTTAATTTTTTTCAAGTGGTACTATGACGAAAATCGCATCTTTCCTATCACATCCATTTTAAAACATAAACAAGTAGCCTGTGTGAGAAGAAAAATGCTGTTTACTATATTCAAATATCTCTTTTCGTTCCTGAGATATTCAAGTTTTTAAAATATGCAAATTAGCCCAGCGATGACATCATACACTCAACTAAATTTTGATCAAATATGATGAAAAAAGGTATCTCAGCCAATTTGTATCTGAAATGTTTGATTCTTTGCAGTAAGATTCTACTAAATGTGCTCCACAATACAAGCTTAACAGTTTGGTTACCATGGCAACATACTGGGTTCCAGACCTCCCCAATATTAAAGGCATTTCTGGCCACCTTCTGGCCTTCCATTTTGATATTTGCAAATGAGGCCTCATATGCTTGATCCAGCAAGCATAAAAATATGTTAGGTTAAGTTTGCAGTCTCATTTAATGTTTTGCGAGCTGAAAATCACTAACATATTGAAATCAAGTGGGTGGGGACTGGAAAAGAGTGACTTACCACGGGAACAGAATTTTTCACAGCCGTAGGTGTGTTTCCTGTAGAACTATTAGCCTACCACGTTTCAATGGTCTGCAGTGCAGATAGTTCTATTTATATACTTGATATAAATTTGGGTTGAGTGTATGACGTCATCAGTCATCTCATTTGCATATTTTACACATTTTTCAAACTTATATATCTCCTGAACTAATGCAGATATTTGCAAACGGTAAACGGCATTTTTATTCTTTCATGGAATTCTATGATACCGGTAAATTAAATTACACAAAGTGAACTTTTGTTCTTCTTCTTCAAGGTGGATACGTTGTAAACTGTTAGCTGGGATGAAAATCCGATAAAACTGCAGCTGGTTCACCCTATATCAGCCATTCATCCACAATCCCTAATCTGTTCCAGACTGCATTGCAAACGTGCGATGCACTTTGGGATGGATAAGAGATGGCAGATGAGAGAAGTGAAATAAGTTTTGGTTTCATATGAAACTAGAGTACTAATCAAAGAAATTGCTCTAATTAGAACAAAAAAAATTATCCAACAAATTTTTAACATACATAAAAGAATAGGCTTTGTCAATAATTTAACTATAAAACATTGCAACAAGACAAAAGTTAAAACCATCACTGTTAAAAACTCTAAAAAGCGACGGCGTTTCAACGTTTACTCAACGTCATTTTCAAGTCAAAATGAATAAGAAAACGTTACTTGAACATAAATGTACAAAACAAATGTTTTTTAGAAGTCCATTACAATTAGGGTTTCTTTTACTAAGTAAATTAAAGGATCATTAAACAAACTTGTGAATTGAAAATGACATATACAAAATCCACATTGTTTTATTGCCTCAATTTTTTTCTTCAACTCAGGGTAACTCAGTCTAAACCAGCCTTTAAAGGTTAATTGATTACAAATGCTTTTCACTTGGAGGTGGAGGTATTTCATTCTCAACATTTGGTTGTTAACATACAGTGGAATCCCAGTTTTTCGAAACTCCAAGGGAAACGAAACTGGGTTCAAAAAATCAGAGAATTTGAGAAATTGGGAGTAAAATTACAGTGTTTGACTGAGGAGAGGGAACAACTTTTGGTTCGAGTTATCGGAAGGATCGCAAAAATGAGGGTTCGAGAGATCTGGATTGCACTGTAATTACAAATGTTATGATTATCAAGTACCGTAAACACCAGTGGATAACCCGCACCTTTTTACTCAAAATTTTCCTTAAAAATTGGGCAGAGGCTTAGCTGCAAGAACACAAGGGTTCAGTTTGACATATTCTCTGTTTTCAATGTTAACTAGTGAGTTTACATGGGTTTATATTCAATAAATCAAGAAATGTACATGAAAAGAATCTTTCTTGAGACTCCACTTATGAATTATTTTGATTTCTTTCCAAAAACCTTTTTGCGAAATTTGAGTTGCCAAACTCGGGGTGCAGCTTACCTGCATGTGCGGCTTATCTGCCAGTGTTTACAGTAGAAATAAATTTTAAACACTGTTGTACTGTACTAGCGACATGGCTTTCCATAAGTTTATGTTGTTCCATGATCTGAACTATGCAATCCTGAAGATGCCCCTGACCACACACTGATTAGTTTAAAATTGATCAAATTGGGTGATCTACTTTGCTTTAATGTACCATCCCTTAAGCGCTGTCCCTCTGTGCGGTTGGTCGAGTTGCAATCCCTCATAGGCACCCTCCAATTTGCCAGTAGGGTGTTTGTCCCAGGGCCAATTTTTTTTTTTACATGTCATAAACCTTACAAGGGAGGTGTCCAATCGCTTTCAACATATCTATCCTAACAAAGAATTTTTTAAGGACCTTGATATATGGTCACTCTTCCTTACCGGGTGGAATGGGCATTCCTTTCTCCTGGACACAAGTCACCCCCTCACCAAAGATAGAACTCTTTAATGACACCGCTAGCACGGTGGGCTTTGGGGGTTATTTTAAAGGGCAATGCTGTGATATGCTGTGACATATTGTGACTTGTAAGGAGTTCAAGGTTGAAACAATGTAGCAACTTAGTACATGAACATACCTTTGTATTCTTTGTGTTGTTGCCCTTGGATGGCCTCTAGCTAAGCATGTTGTGATAGTATGATGTAATAATGTCTAGTTATACTTTCTTTTGGCTGTATTTAGAGATTAAAGTAGTGAATCCTACCTCTATGTCCTAGTACATATTACTTAGCATCCAGCCTTGCCATGGTACAGGTTTTTTCATTGGTTTGAGCCATAGGCTCTGTCTAGCTATAAAAGACCCTGTTTAAGGTCCAAAGTTGCATAAACCTTCACAGGAAAACAGGTGAAAAGGTGATGACAAAGGCATGCTATTTTAACACGGTAGACAAAAGAAAATTCCTTTAACACGCTAGCAGTGTGTCACAATGCATGGCTCATTAAAATTTTCTTTTGCTTCATATTGCATGGTGAAAACAAAGGAGCATGTTCATTCTAACAAAGAAGCATGCCAAAATTACAGAAAGCAGCAAGTAAAATGACATGCTAAGCAAGCGTGGCACGATTTTAAGCGAGTGAAATGGCACACTGTGTCCAAACGCACAGTCCATTACGCTGTTTGAGATTCAACTTATCAACCATTCCATGAAATGTCCACCTTCACAAACTTTTTGTGTATCATCAAGGCCGTCAATCATTGAAATCTGTTCTGCATGCATGCTGTCATGTTTTGTTCATTAGCACTTTTAACAATCTTCAGTTACATATATTTTACAACCAATATTAGTTTTTCGTGAGCGAAACAATTTTCATCCTTCCCCGAATTGTATCTGTGTGAATATCCAAACAATTTTGACAAAATTGACATAGCAAGACAACTTGTAGGCACTTGAGCATAACACAACTTTCACTTTTTACCACAAATGAAACTGCTCCTGGGCAGCAGCGTCAAAAATGCAACATCAACATCATGCATAACATTCAAAGTAAACAACATGTCTATTCTTCATGAGGATGAAATTTGCCATGCCCAAAAGTACCACTGCGATACATGTAAGGTAAAGGCCGTGACGCCACGATTCAAGCACTTATCTTGGCAAATCACTAACAATCACTGTTTGTAGCAATATGCTTTTGCTTCAGTAGTAAAAAGAAAACCTCCAGAGCCATGATAATGTTTTGGTAACATGGGAAAAATAATGTCACTGCTCTTTCCCATCTAAATTTCACCTTAGTTTAAATCAACCAGAGGTGAACATCCATTTTGTCGAGCACTAAATTCATGACCAAATTAGGAATCAAATGTCCACAAAATGTCACTTGATTTCACTTTACGCTTGATCCATAATAGGTCACACAAAGCTGAACCAAGCTGAACCGCGAAACACATTTGTAGAGTATAAGGTATTGTGTGTTGTTTATCGCAAATAATTTATGCATCAACAAATTTGTTCTGATTAATAATAAAACTGTGACACTCAAGGGTACTTTAAATAAACAATGATGTTCAGCCTCGAGTTTAAGAGCAATCCAAGGACGTAAGGTTAAGGCTTCACACTGGTAAGTTACTTGTATTCACTTTTATGAACAGTTTCCTCTGCAAGATAACAATGATTGTAGTTTTCTATACATTGTTTAATGAAATATCTTTATTTTAGTAGTATATAGGGAGTTTAATGAATACCGTTCCGCAGAGGAAGGAGTATTTCCCGTTTTTACAACCACCAGCTTTAATTCCGAAGCTCGCAAACTCGCTTCGGTTAAACCAGGGGGTTGTAAAAACGGGAAATACTCCTTCCTCTGCGAAACAGTATTCATTAAACTCCCTATATACTACTTACAACAAGGGGGAAGGGGAGGGATACCTATTAGATAGAAACAACCCCGCCGTTATACCGCCCGAACACCGGCAANCCAACTTCGCAAGACCATGCCTCGATTACTTCGTAACCGCTCTCCCGCAGAAATGCTGTACGGTTCAGCGTGGCTTGGTACAATTCTTCAGGTGTTTTACCGTTATTGATAATCATTTGTTCGTGATAGTGCGGGAAACATTTTGGGCATCCGTGGAAGGGGCAGCCGTGGTATTGGAACACCGTCCTCGTTTTTGGTTGTACCCGTTGACAGGCAAGCTCTTCATTATTCCGCTTTCGCGCGCCATCTCTCCCCCCCATGCCCGCATCTTGCGTGATGAATGTGGATACCCCGTTTCTTCGCTTCTCACTCAAACCACAGCAGCGCTTGTCTGGATGTTGTGCTGTTTGGGTACATCGCTTTCTCGAAAGCTGTCTGCTGGGCTTCGACTTTTCCACCAGGGCAATCGATTACCGTTTTTCCTGCACTGCAGGTTTGGAAATGCCATTTGAGATTGCCTGCTTGTGTGAATCTCTGACGGCAATGCCCGCATTCATAGGTTTTCGCCACCTTTGCGATGTCTTTTATCACAAAGGCGTGCCCTTGATAAATTCTGATTGTCAGAATGTTTGTCAGCTTGGGATTCGCATTTCTTCTGAGATACCATACCACTTCTCCATCTTCTCTGCGCTCCGGCTCATAGACACGTATTCCGAACCAAGCTGAGACAGCGGCGCCCTGATTCAGATGGGTTTCAACTTTGTCCAACTCATCTAGAGACATTTTTGCGAAGTTTGCAGGTATGGTTTCGAGTTTGTAGAAACTCTGGGCCAAGTTTCTGGCTTCTTTTGTGCTTCGATGTACACGCGCTCCTCGGTGCACCGCGATGCAACGCCATAGACACAAGTCGTCTTTATAGGTATCCAACGCCACCATTGGTCCTCCCCTCCCTCGTGCAAGGTTGCGCAGCCAGTCAGGTAACGGGCCTGTTCCCACCAACAGCTGCCTGTCAATCACAACCTTCAGGTCAACGTTGAAAAAGCTTTCAAACACCCACTTTGTATTCGGCCTTGTAACGCCTTCAAGCTCAATGCGTCATGTTTCCTGGCGGCTAATCCATTCTTCCGCCTCTGCCAGGTTGTTTATCCAAGGCGAGCCATGGTTTGTGTAGTACAGTATCACCGTTTCATCTTCAATGTTGCACAACTGATACGAGACAACATGCCTCAGGTAAAAGGATGTGACAACATTTTCTCGAATTTTTTCCATAAAGTTTGTTGTTAGGTCTTTTTCCAGACTTCTGATGAAGCACCATCGAATATAACACCGCCCTTTACTCTCTTCCCCCTCATGCGTTGCATTATCGAACAGGTCCAGAATCTCGTTCTGGTAGTCTGACACTGTTCGGATGTTCTGCGCAGGAAAAGGGTCGTATTCCCTCAGGAGCTCTTGTGTTTTTCTTGTTTTTCTTTGCCTGGGAGGGGGTCTTGGTTGGTAAGCTTTTGGACGTAAAGGTTTTTGCAAACACTTCTCCGTTTCTTGGGAAATAGGTTCATCCAGCACGTTCTGAACAACCTTTCTAACAGCTGGCGCATTTTCTGCGAGTAATTGCTCTAAATACTGCAACGTTGCTGGATCGATTTTTGCGAGTTCTTCTTCCAGTCTTTCTTCAATGTTTTGGTTAACAGAAGACATTATCAACTTGTATGATGGAAGGTGTTCATCTCTCTAATTGGGTTGACTTGAGCTCGAACAAAACAAGTTCAAAATTTTTCTTTGCCTTTTTGCGTTTGCAAATAAGTCGGTGTTTAAGCGTGCTAGTGCCGCATGAAATGCAAAGACGGTAATTGCACAAAACCCCAACTCCACAGCCACGTCATGGGCAGGAATTTTCATCCCTTTCTTCAGTTGATAGTTGTGCTTCCTGCAATAAGTGCCGACACAGCTCTTTCCACAGTTTTCTTTCCCGCCACGCATCAACCACGCACACTTGTTTGTTCCTCGAAACGTTGCCGGTGTTCAGGCGGTATAACGGCGGGGTTGTTTCTATCTAATAGGTATCCCTCCCCTTCCCCCTTGTTGTAAGTAGTATATAGGGAGTTTAATGAATACTGATTCGCAGAGGAAGGAGTATTTCCCGTTTTTACAACCCCCTGGTTTAACCGAAGCAAGTTTGCAAGCTTCGGAATTAAAGCGGGGGGTTGTAAAAACGGAAATACTCCTTCCTCTGCGGAACGGCATTCATTAAACTCCCTATATACTACTATTTTTCACATCAACAACTTCCCGGTAACTCAGTCAGTTGATGCGAATGCGCTTTTGGTCCGATAATAAGATTGTTATGCACGATCTTTCAATTATTCCTTTCCAGAGCAATACCGTGTCATATCGCATGCTTTTGCCATGTTATATCCCACTCTTAGCGTGACATCAACACATTTAATTGAACAAAAGCTTCAACGTGTAAAACCGTGCCAAACAAAGCTACTGTGACACTTAATGTTCTGCTTATTTCATTTGCGCCCATCCGTGTCATATGTCATGCTTAGCGTGCCATGTCATCGCATACATTCCTGTGTCATCACCTTTTTACCCATTTTCCCATGGAGGGTCACATATTTTCTTAGGTTTGTCTAAACTACTGCTCGCATTCTTGTGTCTTGTGTTAATACACCCCACAAGTGGTTGTTTAATACATGATAAAAGTTTTATATTCGGTTGAGCGGGGTGAATAAGAATATAAATAGAGATAATTGCAGTCTACTATACTTCATGCTGTCAGGGGGACTAAGACAAGTACAGAGAGCTTAATTATTTTTAGACACTGACTAAGGCTGCTCTATTTCACATGTAACACCCCGCCTGGCCTGACTATTTAACAATTAGACCCGTAGCCTGCAAGGGCTCAGGTCAATAGCCCATAAGGCGAAACCGAATGGGCTATTGACCCATGGCCCTTGAGAGCAGAGGGTCTAATTGTTTTAGTATCACCCAATTAGTCGGACACTGAGAAAAGGCAATAATACAGGTAGCAAATGCAAGTTGAAGAAATATTTATTTCGGAATAAAATGAAAGAGAGCATCACGCTCGATTGCGCCAATTTCGTTACTTGAGGACTACTACTAATAGTCCTCTCGTAGAGTAGCTAATTAAAATGCAGGATTTGCATTAGTCCACTAGTTAGGTGATACTAAAGCATGTTATGCAAACATACAGTACCTGGTTCTGGTTTTCTTTCATAATGGTCAACCGTGATTCTATGCATCTTCTAGTTTCTAGAAAAGCTCGACGCTGAGAAATCTCTGTTGGATACTTCGTAAAAACGCCTGTTATGTTGGCACATATGAATATGAACAGATTGCCGACAAGCTGTGGAAAACAAAATATACATGCAAGAAAGAGATTTAATGCACATAAAATAGGTTTAACCAAATGTTTGAGGATAGTTATTAAGGAAGCCATTTAAGTCCTCTACACTGTTCCTTGACTCTAGCTTTTAAAGCATGAAGTCAGTTAACAAATTAGAACAGCTTTCAATTGAGTGTCATAAAAACAAGACCATCATAGCAGGGCTGCCAAGTGGAGCCCCACACTCATTTCAGAAAGAAAATGAAACCTGTGAGTTGATTTTGTCATGGTTATCATGGCTAGCGGTATTGCTTGTGGGTGTGTACGCACGACGATGACAACGGCAGAGTCACGCAACATGGACACCGTACTCCAGCCAATAGGTTGACAGAGACATGTAGCCTTGGTTTATAACCTACTTCTCTGATATTGCACATCCCTGTTATGGACAATTGACACCTGTCAAAAGAAGGTATCCACTGACCAGTATCATGTGACAATATTGCGGGCTCAAGTTTAGAGCTCATTGAGGTCAAAAATTGACCGCTGACCAAGTGCTGGTTTTCGATTGGATCGCAGGCTCATATCAGGTTAACTTGTAATCAGGGCCAAGTTGTTCCAAAGCTGGTTAACGCTAACCCAGGATTAAAAGTTACCGTATTTACCCGTGTATTAGTCGATCCCGTGTATAAGTCGACCCCCAATTTTTGAGGCCAAAAACTAGATTTTCTTAATTTCCAGGTAAGAATT